TTTATATACAGAATTTTACTTAATTCAAAAACATCCCTAAATTGGCACGCCAAGCGCCAAGGAACTGTCACAAATTTTCATGCCCATACAAGTTGTAGCATCCCACAATAACGCGGCGCTAGCACCGGGAAAATGGAATTTTCGTTTTTGACAGGGATTTACGTGTTGCAGTTGGATACAGAAGAGAGAGAGCAAAAAAGTGAAAGAGGAAATGAGACAATGCCAAAAAATGCGCTGCGTTCAAGTCGCATCTATACAAGGTTGTTTTACTAGAACAGCTGATTTTATATTTTTGTATCTAGGCTAGTACAGAAGACTGACACCGAAGACGAAATGGCATAACTTTGGCGAAAATTATCTCCTATTTTCTTTCGTTTTGACATCCCGATGTACCAAAAAGCCATAACAAAATACAGGAGATTTTTACTTATATGCGCTTGCTACCACTTTATATGGATGCGCCTTGTCTTTTGCAGCTGATTTAGTGTATTTATTTTTGCCATTTAATGTGAGCACGCAAACAAATCGCAGACGAACCACAATTTTATTTTGTTTTGCTACGTAAACAGTAACCAGTCTCTGACTTCTTCGTTCCTTCGCGAGCATAGCGAGAGCGACAACATTTCTTCAATTCATTTCTACATAACTACATACATACATATGTACTTTCTTGCTGCCTGCCATTCAGTTTCGATTTGCCAGTGACGAGTTCAGTTTTGTGTGTTTTATCAACGGTTGTGCTTTCTGTAAAAATGGGACGTATAAGGCAATTCAATTTGTACAATTATATTTCCTATGATTCGAAAAGAAATGTATCGGTTTGTTTTCTGTGTGGAAGAACTCTTGCTGGAAAAAAATTCAGCAATATAAAGCGCCATTATTTGGGTGTGCACGGGACACAATTGCCTGAATTACCAGACAGCGATTTGACAAGCAGCAGTAGCAATGCCCCTACAACAACAACAAGCAGCAGCACAACTATAGCATCGCAAGAGCTGAGTAACCGGTTTACTATATCGATGACAAAGGCCGATTTTATTACGTGCTGTGTCGGACTGGTTACCGTAAAAAAGTTGCCGTTCCGAGTTTTCGATGACGAAAAACATTTCAAGAAGCTAATGCGTCCCTACGAAGAGTATTTCAAAATTAAAGTCGACTCGAAGAATATAGCAGACGAAGTGAATACTTTGGGCTACAAAATAAGGCAAAACATAGCACAAGCAGTGCATAAGAAAATGATAAGCGTAAAATTTGACTTCGTCAGCCGTATGGGGCAAAACATACTCGTCGTACACATCCAATACATGGCGGACTCAAATCTAGTGACCTGCACGATTGGCGTGATTCTTTTGGAGCGCGAGTGCACTTCGAGTTTCCTCTGTGAAGAAATATGTAATTGTTTGACCGAATTCAATATTGATACCGCTCAAGTGTATGCGTGCGTATCGGATAATGGTGCAAATTTTAAGGAGAGCACGAATTCGCACGCGGAGCAAGCAGAAGAATTGTGTCTGCTGGATGAAGAGTCAAACAGTGATGATGAGTACTATTTGGAGGTACACACTGCACTGGAGTGCGGTTTCGAAACGATTCGCTGCTTTGTGCATACAATACAACTTGTTTCTCAAGATGTTTCGGAGGCTATAGAGCCACAAGTTGATGAATGCAGGCAGATAATAGAATTTCTACGCAAAACGCACCCAAGTTTGCGGATTCCAATGTTGGACTATGACTCAAGCTGGATATCGACATTCGAGATGTTAAACAACCTAAATAACCTCAAAAGTTGTATACAAGTGGAAAGCATTACGGATTCTGTTGTGCCGGAAGTGGACTGGCATTTTCTGAGCACCTACCTGGAAGCATTCAAGCCTCTGCGAAATTGTTCGAGCAAGCTTCAGAGTGAGCAGTATATTGTTGGCGACTTCTATAGAGATTTGATGTGCTGCGAATTGGAATTGGATGAACTCATGCAAAACGGTAATTTCTATGCGCAATTGTTAACAGAGGCGTTGAAGAATAGAAAAGAAGAACTCTTGAATAAGGAAGCTTTTCTAGCAGCGCTTTATGTGGATCCCCGTTTTAATTTTATTGGCTCGCCGTTTTTAACTGACGATAAGAAACAGATTGCAGCGGTAAGTAAATTCGGCTGTATTCTTTAAATGTACTTAACTTCTTTACGGCGAGTGTTACCACTTATTTTCATCAAAAAGCGGAGATATAACAAAAAGCTGTAGCGACAGAGTGTTTAAAATATTGATTGTTTTATTTTACACATGAAGCATTAAAACAAAATTCATATTTTGATTCGATGATCTGGGAATTACAGTAATAAATACAAATAATATAAATTACACGTGGATGTATTTCATAAATATCTTAATAAATTTATCTTAGGATCATTTTAGCGAAAAACATACCACAAGTTATCATAGATCGATTTTTATCGATTTAGTTTTCACTATTTTCGCTATTTGTATTATTACAAACGCAACCGTAGTGCGACTATCTCTCATATAGTATTTTCTTGCCAAGGCAATGCTCATGTATTTAGGTTGAGAATGCAAATAATAATTAGCACACCTCATGGACTTTAAAACAGTGCTGAGTTATTAGAAAAATAATATTACATATGGTGCGAAGTTGTCGTTTTTCAAAGAAATGCTTATTGGATGTCCCACCCGTCACAGCCAATTCTATTTATTTTTTTCCTGCCTTTGAAAATACTATACCTTCCCATAGTTTATATAAGGTAATTTTGTTAAAACTAAGGGCCTGTTCGAGGCACGTAATAAAAGCGGCATTACTGCCGTACTGATGAAAAATGGCAACATTGTTGCAACCGCCCAACTGATAATACATTGCTAGAAATTCACACAGAACGCGATACTTTAATAATTCGCGCAACACTGTGGTTGTTATTGCAACTCGAACAAGCCCTAATAAATATTCATACGAAACGAGTAGAGCTCATTATATTCACGAACTTTGCATCCTCAATAAGACTCCTCCCACCCGTCACAAAATACTGTCCCACTTACCACATGCTAAAGGAGTTTTTATTTTTATTTTCAAATATGATAATTTAATTAAAAAACAAAATGGGCCTAAGTATCCTCTTAGCTACATACGAGAAAGGCGCGTTTGGTCGAAATATTTATAGCTTGTCTAAAATTGGAAAAAGAATCCATCAACTCAGATAGGCGGGTGTCATCGTTGTGCAACACGTCACTTTTGTAAAATGTCAATTTTCTGTGTAAATTATATAATTAAGTTTCTTACTTTATCAGTTTAGAAATAACCTGCTATCTGAATTCAAAAGTTCAAATTTTTAGACTTAGCCAATAAATGGTTAAAGAGAAATTACTTAAAGGTTGAGCAAAAACGACTAAAAAAACCCATCCGTCACTCCCGTCTAAAGCTATTAATTTCGCAGCTAAATTACACTTATTCACTGATCCTAGCACCTCGAAAAGTTGGCACGTGTTGAAAAGAAACAGGAATAAATTAGAAAATGGAATGCAAAAACTAGAGCCAATGTCGTATTCACAATTCACGATATTACACAAAATCAACAGAAAATTAATCATCCACATTGTAAAATGCTTACTGTGGATGTGGTAGAAACGCAATTTAGCAAAAAAGTGGTAGATCTAACACAAAAGTGGTATCCAGCGTTGCCAGGTGACGTTTTTAACGTCTTTTGGACGTTTTTTGTGTAAAAAATTACGTTTTTTAACTTCCCAATAATTTTTCTCTATGCACAATATATTCAATGTATAGCGTACTATTTGCTTGTAGAGTAAATACTTACGCTCACACTCTCGGCAAATTTGTTACTAAATCTTGTAAGTAGAACTGATTTTGAATTATTTTCTTAATAAGTCTTTACGAGCTTTGTTTTTTGCAGCAGGTGCCTCAAAAGATATTTATTCTTTGGACAAATATGACTTAAATATGTATGATGCAAACCAAGCTTACGCGCGTTTTTTTTATTCTTGGACTCGGCGTTCAAAGGCTGGTTGTGTAAACACTTGAGGTTACAAGGCTTATTACAATGTTTGTAATTACATATTAAAAGCCAAATCAGAAACAGCTGATCTATTGCAACACGCACGCTCGCAAAAGCACTATTTTCCTTGTTAGAAGAACGCAATTTAGCATTTTCGTCAACCGACCACTTAACCAAATGTCTACAAGAAAAAAGAAATTATTAAACATCAACGCGATTATTTAGCCCCTTTAAACTTGCATACTATTGCCTTGAAATTTGATGGGCTAAGAACTTGCATACTCAAAAAAAATTTTTAAAAATCTGAATAAAAAGATGAAAATCTAGCTGAAAATTTGCAGATTGTTTATAATTTTTGCACAGTTTTTGTGGATTTATATTTTGTTTGTTAATGAGCTTGGCTTTTATGGATAAATAATAAACATTAAATAAACGAAAGAGAAACTGCCAAAATCGATCAAAATGTTGATGACTTGATCAGCTGATCACAAGTGTATGTATAAAATGATTTTTATATTAACGATCTCAAACCAGTTTACAATAGTGGTATTCTCTAAATTGTTATCAACAGTCGTTGCGTGAGCTCATCTGCTGTTTTGCCAGAGTACCAGGCCACTTGCTCACTTTGGTGAATACCACTAATGAATTTTAAATGTGCTCTGTCTAAATGACATTTTAATATACCCTACGTACATATGTACCTTTGTATACAATAAAAGTTTAATAAAGAACAATTCTGTGTGCATACATGGAACAGACGTTTTTGGTTACGAAATGACGTTTTTTCAGACCAACAGGGACGTTTTCTCATGCTGAAAACCTGGCAACACTGGTGGTATCGTACGCACACTGGTCCATAGCTCACTGAGCGCTCTCTGGGCACATGTGTGTTTCGCGCATATACGAATAGCGGCAGCTGAGCAGTGCACTACCGCACACAGTCCTACTTATTGAATTATTTGAATGTGTTAGTATGCCGACCGCTGATGTAGTTCATTTGTGTTTTCCATTTGGCTCAGTTTCGATTTGCCAGTGACGAGCTCAGTTTAGTGTATTTTACCAACGCTTATGCTTTCTGTTGAAATGGGACGTATAAGGAAATTCAATTTGTACAATTATATTTCCTACGATGCGAAAAGAAATGTATCGGTGTGTTGTCTGTGTGGGAGAGCCCTTGCTGGAAAAAAATTTAGCAATATAAAGCGTCATTATTTGGGCGTGCACGGGAAAAAATTGCCTGGATTACCAAACAACGATTTGACAAGCGGCAGTAGTAATGTCACTACAACAACAACAAGCGCCAGCACAACTATAGTACACCAAGAGCCGAGTAACCGCTTTAATTTATCGATGACTAAGATCGATTTTATTACGTGCTGTGTCGGACTAGTGACCGTAGAAAAGTTGCCGTTCGGAATTTTCGACGACGAAGATTATTTCAAAAAGCTTATGTGCCCCTACGAAGAGTATTTCAAAATTAAAGTCGACTCGAAGAACATAGCAGACGTAGTGAATACTTTGGGCAGCAAAAGAAAGCAAAACATAGCACAAGCAGTGCATAAGAAAATGATAAGCTTAAAATTTGACTTCGTCAGCCGTATGGGGCAAAACATACTCGTCGTACACATCCAATACATGGCGGACTCAAATCTAGTGACCTGCACGATTGGCGTGATTCCTTTGGAGCGCGAGTACACTTCGAGTTTCCTCTTTGAAGAAATAAGTAACTGTTTGACCGAATTCAATATTGATACCGCTCAAGTGTATGCGTGCGTATCGGATAATGGCGCAAATTTTAAGGAAGGCATGAATTCGAACGCTGAGCAAGCAGAAGAATTGTGTCTGCTGGATGAAGAGTCAAACAGTGATGATGAGTACTATTTGGAGGTACACACTGCACTGGAATGCGGCTTCGAAACGATTCGCTGCTTTGTGCATACAATACAACTTGTTTCTCAAGATGTTTCGGAGGCTATAGAGCCACAAGTTGATGAATGCAGGCAGATCATAGAATTTCTACGCAAAACGCACCCAAGTTTACGGATTCCAATGTTGGACTATGACTCAAGCTGGATTTCGACATTCGAGATGTTAAACAATCTACATAGTCTGAAAAGTTGTATACAAGTTGAAAGTATTACGGATTCTGTGGTGCCGGAAGTGGACTGGCAGTTTCTGAGCACCTACCTGGAAGCATTCAAGCCTCTGCGAAATTTTTCGAGCAAGCTTCAGAGTGAGCAGTATATTGTTGGCGACTTCTATAGAGATTTGATGTGCTGCGAATTGGAATTGGATGAACTCATGCAGAACGGTCATTTCTATGCGCAATTGTTAACAGAGGCGTTGAAGAATAGAAAAGAAGAACTCTTGAAGAGCGAAGCTTTTCTAGCAGCGCTTTATGTGGATCCCCGTTTAAATTTTATTGGCACGCCGTTTTTGACTGACGATAAGAAACAGATTGCAGTGGTAAGTAAACTCGGCTGCATTCTTTAAATTTACTGAACTTCTTTAGGGCGAGTAGTTATAGGTACGTTGCTCTGCGCAATAGAATCCGTGGCCCCAGTTACCCCTTGTTTTCTTCAAAAAACTGAGAGATCCCAAAAGAACGACGGAGTTCTTAAAACAATTAATATTTTTATTCAATAATCTTGGAATTACAGTGTCAAATAGCATGATTTTAAAAATTATAAATTGAAAAAAAATTCTCTAGTCATTTAAGATTGGTGAAAAATTCGAAAAACGCCCGTTCCACATCCGTAGATTTAGCTGGACAAAATTTAAACAAGTTTAATTCTGCTGGGAATTTCTTTGATAGATCCTCGTTGTGGAGCCAGGAAATGATACATTCTTTATATTAGCTATTGTGGTTCAGCCAGGGTTTCTGGCCAAAATGTTTTCAAGTTTTTTTTTAATGTCAAACTTGTGCTCAAAAATTTCAATGTTAAACCTTTTGTTTGAAGCTTTGTTATTCCTACCATGATAAAAACATAGTAAAGTAAAACCGTTCTGTCAATTCGTCGGCCATGATTTTTTTTTTTGAAGTTTGCCAACATTTTAAAATCATATAAAATTGAGAGTAGAAAAAAGGAATTGTTCAAAGTTGTTTTTGTTTAAGATTGAAAATAAGAATGTGTGTGTGAGTTTGTGTGTAAAATTTAAAAATTAAAATGCTTGCAAACGTCAAGAATATGAAAAATTCCTCTCCGCGGTTCTACATTCCTATTTTTTTTATCATGATACCTACTATCAAACAACTAAACTTTGCTAAATCTGTTCGGATTTCTTCAAGCTCTAGTAGTATGTAGTTATATATATTTATACAAATTGGTAGCAAAACATATATATATGTACATATATTAAGTGATTTCAAAAACCAAGAACACCATTTGAAAGGTATTTTAGTTTAGAGTAGAGCTGCCAAACTCTCGATAGTTGGACCCTTCGATATTTTCGATAGTTTTGGGCCTCACCAATCGATGGTATCGATACTTCGGTAAGAGATGGATAATCTTAAGAGAAAAAATAAAGGGTTTTTTTTTACATGTGGTTTTTAAGAAGAGATAAAACGCATATAGTTTAATGTTATGGCCAAGAATTTCCATTATGTTTTAAAAATGATATCGGACAAGTGACCGCCGTAGCTGGCTCGAATAAATTCCAGCCGAGAGGCCCAATTTTCGACCACTTTTTGCAGCAATTGGGGCCGTGTGTCAGCAATAACGCGCCTAATATTCTCTTCTAAGGCTTCAATCGTCTCGGGCTTATCTGCGTAGACAAGCGACTTCACATAACCCCACAAAAAACAGTCCAGCGGTGTTAAATCGCACGATCTTGGAGGCCACGCCACAGGCCCAATGCGCTCACCAAAAGTTTCCTTCAATAAATTGATTGTTTCTGTGGTTGTTTGACATGTAGCGCCGTCTTGTTGGAACTAAAGGTCGTCCACGTCAACATCCTCCAATTCAAGCACGAAAAAGTCAATAATCATCGCTCTATAGCCATTATTTTGGTTATAATTTTGCACGATTTGCAAATGTTATTCCGAAGTAAGTCTGTTCATTATGAAATGGCAAATAAATCAAGTAACAGCTGTCAAAAAGACCAACACCGAAAAAAGTATTGCCTCATTGAAAACCACACGTCTAAAAAAAAAAACACCCTTTATGAGATCCTTACTACGGCACTAATTATATTGAACGTGGTAGAATTAGTAGAAAAAATATGAAGGCTCGCTTTAAACGCCATTTTAGTGTGATTTATTAAACATAACAAAGTTAGATATTTTAAACAACAAAAACAATGTAATTCACTTCATTTCCTTTCATTAGAAAGTCAGTTGTAGCCCCGCGAAATTGTTTCAAAGTTTTTGAATTAGGAAAATTTATCTTTAGCTTGTAATATCTAGGGAATGCGTTAACTTTTATAAACTAGACAATATATCAAGTGAAAGGTTATTAAATTTAGTATGTCACGTTCCTATATCATTTTTCAAGAAGACCACAAGTTTTCGAGATATTTAGAAAAACTAAGGTTGCAAACAGAGTGGAAGCGAAGCTGAAGACGAAAATGAAGACGAAGCCGAAGACGAAAAACAGTGCAGTAGTAAACATATGAAAGTGATCACAGTGCAAGCAAAGACGGAGACGAAGATGAAGACGTTGCGCAAGCGGTCAGCTTGAAACAGTGCGGTACTGTTTTCAAAGACGAATCGCTTGCTGTGATGAGTTGTTTACAATTTATTTAACTGTTTGCAATTGTGAAAACCGCGTTTTTTAAGAAATTGGCTAAATTTTTGGCAAAATGTAATCAAACGTATTAATTGGCATTCTTGTATATTCGAAAAATGTCTGTCCGTCTTGCCGTAACACATAATACAAGTGGCGAAATTCTCCAAAAATTGTCCTATACAAATTATTTCATGAATTGCTGTTTTTTCTTTATTTTCTTTTGATTTTATCTAAAAAAAAGGGTTTATTTAGAAACAAATCTTCATATCATTCATCTTCCACTATGTACACTCGCCAGCTTGGCCGCAACGGAAACAATTCGTCTTCGGATCCGTCTTCATCTCCATCTTCGGCTTTGCTTCCACTCTGTCTGCAACCTAACAAAAGCGATGACTTTCCCGTTCGAGTTTTAAATTTTTCATTACTTTAGTAACCAAATGCTGGTTGCGTTGCTTTCCGTAATCGAACTATAAATAAAATTTATGTGAGCAACGCCCATTTTAAGTTCATTTACGTACACTTGAAAATTGGAGCGGAATGGTTTCATTAGTCACCTAAGAAGCACATTTGTCACGGTTTCTAAATTGACCATTATTATACGAAAGTAGGGGCGTGTAATAAGTATTTAGATATATGTAATTATTTTAGTTAATTTCATTATGTCAAAGATTGACCGTTGGTAAATGCACTATCCACTTGGGACTCTCCAATTGGAGATATATCTTTGTATTCAACTTGAACGAAGTCAATCCATGACTCCCTTTTCCGTAATTGTTTATTTTTATTTCAAAGCAATTTTTACAATTTAAGACACATTTTTGTTAAAAAAAGACAGAGAAGCATCTTTTTTCGACTTGACCAATTACCAAACTGAAGGCGAGACTTACTGTTATGTTAAAAATGCTGAACAAAAATTCCTATGAACTGAAATCAATTGCAATTTTTGTATTGTATGCATAATAATAAGTAAAGTAAGTAGAGTTTGCGCAATTTGTGCTAGTTTAGTGTTTCCATATTCATTTGCATAAATTAATTTTTTCCACGGCGAAGGAAAATAAAGGTTTTCGTACTTTAGCTCCCGAATTTGTAAAAATTCGTTAAGTAAAGCTAATACGAAAAACAGATAAGTATATTTGGAACCAACGACCTAAATACACCTCATAAATATGAATGCTGTTCTTTACATCTTTTGACTAAAGACCAGTGCAACTATCAACAGACCAATTACAATTTGATTGAAACACAAATCAGTTTGAGAATAACCATAAATTAAAGGTCTGTCAGAGATGATATTTGACTTTTTCGTTTGCGTTTTCATTTTTCGCTCAGTTTTTTTTTTTGCTGTATATTGTTATTGGATTTGATGCAGAATTTCACTGCTTGCTACCTATGCATGCTACTATTTTGCAATAGTGGGTTCTCGTACTCTTGCAAATTTGGAATAGTATTTTTACATTTCATACAATCCGTGCTACGTGCAAGATTTCGAGAATACCCGTAATAGGTTTTTACTATTACCAAAGCATTTAAGAAAAATTAAATTTTCGACCCCCCTAGTACTCACCCTTATTTGTGTGGACAATTTTTGTGTATATTGAGTATAGCAGTGGTCGGCAGGCCATAGCTCACCGAGCGCTCTCTGAGCCCATGTGTGTTTCACACGTTTACGAAGAGCGGCATCTGAGCAGTGCACTACGCACACAGTCTGACTTATTGAATCATTTGAATGTGTTAGTTTGCCCACCACCGATGTAGATTTGGCTCAGTTTCGATTTGCCAGTGACGAGTTCAGTTTTGTGTGTTATATCAACGGTTGTGCTTGCTGTAAAAATGGGACGTAAAAGTCAATACAGTTTGTACAATTATATTTCCTATGATTCGAAAAGAAATGTATCGGTTTGTTGTTTGTGTGGAAGAACATTTACTGGAAAGAAATTTAGTAGTATAAAGCGTCATTATTTGTGTGTGCACGGGAAACAATTGCCTAAATTACCAACCAACGATTTGACAAGCAACAATAGTAATGCCGCTGCAACAACAACAACAACAAGCGCCAGCACAACTATAGTACGGCAAGAGCCGAGTAACCGTTTTAATTTATCGATGACTAAGGTCGATTTTATTACGTGCTGCGTCGGACTGGTGACCGTAGAAAAGTTGCCTTTCGGAATTTTCGACGACGAAGATTATTTCAAAAAGCTTATGTGTCCCTACGAAGAGTATTTCAAAATTAAAGTTGACTCGAAGAACATAGCAGACGTAGTGAATACTTTGGGCAGCAAAATAAGGCAAAACATAGCACAAGCAGTGCATAAGAAAATGATAAGCTTGAAATTTGACTTCGTCAGCCGTATGGGGAAAAACATACTCGTCGTACACATCCAATACATGGCGGACTCAAATCTGGTGACCAGCACAATTGGCGTGATTCCTTTGGAGCGCGAGTGCACTTCGAGTTTCCTCTGTGAAGAAATAAGTAACTGTTTGACCGAATTCAATATTGATACCGCTCAAGTGTATGCGTGCGTATCGGATAATGGCGCAAATTTTAAGGAAGGCATGAATTCGAACGCTGAGCAAGCAGAAGAATTGTGTCTGCTGGATGAAGAGTCAAACAGTGATGATGAGTACTATTTGGAGGTACACACTGCACTGGAATGCGGCTTCGAAACGATTCGCTGCTTTGTGCATACAATACAACTTGTTTCTCAAGATGTTTCGGAGGCTATAGAGCCACAAGTTGATGAATGCAGGCAGATCATAGAATTTCTACGCAAAACGCACCCAAGTTTACGGATTCCAATGTTGGACTATGACTCAAGCTGGATTTCGACATTCGAGATGTTAAATAATCTACATAGTCTGAAAAGTTGTATACAAGTTGAAAGTATTATGGATTCTGTGGTGCCGGAAGTGGACTGGCAGTTTCTGAGCACCTACCTGGAAGCATTCAAGCCTCTGCGAAATTTTTCGAGCAAGCTTCAGAGTGAGCAGTATATTGTTGGCGACTTCTATAGAGATTTGATGTGCTGCGAATTGGAATTGGATGAACTCATGCAGAACGGTCATTTCTATGCGCAATTGTTAACAGAGGCGTTGAAGAATAGAAAAGAAGAACTCTTGAAGAGCGAAGCTTTTCTAGCAGCGCTTTATGTGGATCCCCGTTTAAATTTTATTGGCACGCCGTTTTTGACTGACGATAAGAAACAGATTGCAGTGGTAAGTAAACTCGACAGAACAGAGTGCGAACGACAGTGAAGGGGAAATTTTGCTAAGGGTTTTAGAAACAGAATAAACAAACTCCTTACCCAAAGAATTATAAGGGAGGTTTAAAGACAATATCCTTAGGAATGTTCTACAAAATTTTATGGCTATTAATACCGACACCGAAGGGTGATTATAGTTTTACGAGGAGCTCTTTTTCATGGTACACTCGGGAGGTCATCTGTTGCCATTGCGCAAACTTACCAAGTCAGTAACCACAGAATAAAAGATGGCGACGATTACATTTCTCAAGCCAAAACAAAGGCGAATAGGAGGAAAATAAACTTCAGTCAGATTAGTTCATTTTTTTAGTATTCAATTTTTCGATAGGAATCGTTGTTTAATTGTGTAAATTTTTTTTAAATATACGATTTATAAAAATAATTAATAAATGAATTGCTAAAAAGCGGTGATTTTTGTGAAAGTATTAGTCAATTTCATTGCATTTAAAAGTTCTAAGGCGTGGTTTACTTTTACTTGAGAATTGTAAAAACTGAAGTGCCACCTCTTGCTCTCTTTGTGCTTACAATGTTCTTAATCTGCCTGGAAAATATCCTGTCAAAATCTACAAATATGCTGCCAACATGTTAAGCAGTGTGTTTAAATTAATGTTAAAAGAGACTAACGTGATAAAATAAACTTAAAATTTGCATTAAATTGTGATTTTTATGTGCATGACAGTTTTATATTTAAAGCATTTTGGTCACATACTCTTAAATTTTTTTACAGATATTGAGTTCACACTTATGCTGGTATTCAGGAAGTCAATCTCATCAGAAGTCACTAAATTTTAAACTATCAAACTATTTAAACTATTTTTAGTGGCTGTCTGTATCAGTAAGTTCACTGAAAATGTGTGGTGAAATCAACAGAGACAGTCAACCGATAACATACAAGCATGCCATTTTGCTCGAGCTACTCCAACTGTCGCAATGGGAGGCTGAGCAGAGTGCCACTTCAGAGAACTGAGTTCAAGTCCTCGGGAAGCCGATTTTTTTTTAAATTTTGTTTTTCTTTTGATTCTTTTTTACATTTCGATGTTAAAAAAATGTCTTTACATAGAATTGTTTGATGTTAGATACATGTTTATTTCCTAATGAAATTGTTGTTAAACAATTTTTCACCATTTTAAATAAAGTAGAAAGTAGTTATGTTTCTTTTATTGAGACCAAAGACGTCGGGCAACTTCCTGAATACCAAACAGTCGCAAAATCGATGTTCATGCAGTGACTAGTAACTGCTTACTGAATACCAGGGTTAGAAAGCTTGTTTAAAAAATTATTTAACTTTAATTTATGTTACCTAGTTTTTTATTTGATTTCATTAAAATATTTACTTTTTTGTTTGTTTTGTGTTTTCATATGCATGTTTTTTGATTATATCCTTGTTTTATACTATTATGTTTTTATTTTTTGATACAACCCAGCAAACATTTGGAGTCATAAATGAGTCTTAAAGGAGTCCTATTTCGGAGCATTTACGCTCATAATGAGCTCATTTAAGAGTCCGGAATGAGGGTGTTTCCCTTCCTGCAAAGGTCGACATATAAGAGCTTAAATTCATACATCAAATGAGCGTCAATATGAGCCATATTTGACTCTTACTGTTATTATATACGCCTCATTTCGGACTCTTACTCAAGACTCTTTTATGACTCTTATTTGCCTCATAAACGACTCTTTTAGGATTCTTTTTAGACTCTTTTATGACACACATTGGCCCCATATGCATCTCATTTCGGACTCTTACTCTGGACTCTTTTATGCCTCTTATTGCAACTTTACCTAACTTTGCAAATTTATTACAACTTTACCTAATTAAAAGCTCTAAAAAAGTTATTTTCAATAAACAGCTTTATTATCTACATATGTGTTTGCTGTGTGTTGTATAATACTATATGTACGCAGTATACTAACACGTTGCTATAAATGAATTTATAGTTTGATTTGTTTTGCTTTATAGTTAACACGGTCCCGTGCAGTTTGAAACCATTTTGTTGTAAATTTCTTAAAATCCGCTTCGTTAGAAAATTTTCTGCAATAGGCTTCTATAAAGATATAATACAAAATATCTAAATTAAAACAATAAAACATCATTTCTGAAGAGAAATACCTTTAAACGCAGCAGTTATGGCTAAATTTTAAAGCGAAATTTTATTATCAACATTTTTCCATGTTGTTT